TGTTGCCAGCCCTACTCCCTGGGGGCCCAGCCTGCTTGGGTGGGGGGGGGGGAGTCTCCCAGTACTCTGCAGAGCGCTAGGGTTGTGTTCAAAGTCGCCCAAGTCTCCTGTACTCTGAGCACACCTCCCTCAGGTGTGAGGTGAGCGGACTTCTCCCTGTCCTGACCCTTGTTCTGCACAGATGCTTACTTGTCACTGGCAAATGAACCCAAAGTACCAACTGTGTGCCAGGCCCTGTGCTGGGCTCTGGGGACACACGGCCTCCACCATGGGCTCTGCTGTGACAAGACAGTCCTACAGCAAAGGTGAACCTGGGCCCCGCCTCTCCTCCAGGGAGCTAGCCTGAATTCACCTCCTGCACCCATCTAGGCTGCCAGGCAAGCAAGAAAACCCCAGCCTGGCCACACTGGGATTTGGTCAGCTTTTTTCTGGAAAACTTCAAATGTACGTGAAAGGACAGAGGACAATATAACTTCAAATGTACGTGAAAGGACAGAGGACAACCATAACAAGCCACAGAAAATAGTATAATGGGCCCGTCCTCCAGCGCCAGCTCATCAGCTGGAGGCAGAGCCTGTTTCCATGCCCTCCCCTCCAACTCATGCCGCAGCCTGGTTGCCCCGGCTCTTTGCCCTAAACTCACGCACTGGATCAAATCCACCACCACGCCCCACGCCCCCTGGCCCTGCGGGGACTCAGGCAGCGCCCTCCCTCCGGCAGAGACCAGGACGCACCTCCCGGTGCCGAAGCCTGGCACGCGGCTTCCTGGAGGCCCGACTCCTCCCCAGACGCTTGGCGGGCCTGCTGCTGGGCCTGCTGCCCCCCAGGCCTGGGGCCCCTGGGAATAAATCGAGTTTTGGCTCGGCAGCCGCAGGGCTGATGGGAGCGGGCCTTTCCTTCCCGGTTCACGTTCCGACTGCGTTTCCCTTCAGAGACACGATCACTTAGAAACCTATAAATCCCTGGCAGGGCCCAGGCGAGTATATAAATCAGGACTTGTAAAAGCCAAATGGCTCCCCCTGGACGGCGGCGAGGGGAGGGCGCCAGGACTCCTCAGGCCGCTGCCCAGGACCCGAGTCAGCAGGGGAGGGTGGGCCGGGCGCCGGTGCCACAGACCCGCCCTGCAAATCCAGCTCTGCCCTCACTCTCTCGGTGGCCTCGGTTCTTTCCTCTGCAAAATGGGCTGACGGCACTTACCCTGTGGAGTGTCTTCACGATGTCACATAGGTTCCGCCAGAGCCACAAAGCACGGGATGCTGTCGTTTTTCAGGCTGACTGGCAGGAGGTGGTGGAGGGAGTGTGGGCTGGGGGCCATGAGGCCTGGGCTCTCCACTCGCCTGCTCCGTAACTTTGGTTGTGTCACACTCTCGGGGCCTGTCTTCTTGTTTGGAAAACGAGGGGTTGGGCGGGACGGTGAGTTCAAAAACGGTCCTTGTGACCCTAATCTGCGCAAGGTTCCCTTGCTCCCGGCTCTCACACTCCACTGAGATGTTCAACAAACAAGTACGGAGCACCCCCCCCCGCGTGCTGCGGGGGCTGGGCGGCCAGCGGTGGGGAGGGCCGAGCAGGGCCCGCCTCCGGAGCACGTGTTCCGGCGGGAGCGCCCCCTGCCGGCTCCTTTCACAGATGCCTGCGGGCGCGCCCTGAGGGATAAAGCGGGCTCCGCACCCCCAACTCCCCCCTTGCTTGGTGTCCCCTTCTCCACGTGCCCTGGGTTTCTCCATCAGTGAAGTGAGAGGGGGCGGCGCCGGTGGCCGCAGTGGGCTTCTTAGTGCTGATGGTCCGGGTCACGGGGGACCCCAAGGGCCAGCAGCAACGGAGGATCTGGAGACAGGGAGTCCAGGCCGACCCAGGAATGGGGAGTCCCTGTGCCCAGCATCAAGGGACCCTGGGCCTGGCCATGAAGGGCAGAAGGGGAGGGCTTGAGACCCACTCTCCCCAGAGATCCCCTGGCAGGTGGCTTAGGAGGTGGTAGAGTGACCACAGGCCCTGCCCCAAAGGCCTGTCTCACCAGCGCTCTTCCCCTCGTTGGCCTCTCCTCCCCACAGCCGCCAGGGCTCTATGTTGCCTTAGGCCACAGAGGGTGAGGTGAGCTCAGTGAGGAGGGGACAAGGCAAGGAGACTAGGGGCACAGAAGACAGACCTGCAGTTTACAGAGGGCAAGGGAAAGACAAACGGGAGAAAAGAGACACAGGGAGTGAACTGGGAGGGGCAGAGGAAGGGGGGAAGGAGAGAATTGGGAGGGGAACAAAAGGGCGCAGCCGAGATGGGGAGACAGAGAGGGAGGGTGGAGGGGCAGAGGGCTGCTGGGGGACCAGGCGCAGCAGTGAGGGGAAGCAGAGAGGAACAGGGAGCAATGGAACACAGAGGGACAGGGATGGAAGACAGAGGGACAGGGCATGGAAGACAGAGGAGCTGGAAGGCAGGAGATGGAAGACAGATGGACAGGGGACGGAAGACAGAGGGACAGGGGACGCAAGACAGGACAGGGAGAGATGGAAGACAGAGGGCCCCTGATGGAGACAGGGACAGGCAGGTGGGGGGCAGGCCAATCCCAGCCTGCACTGGCACAGAGGCAGGGCTGCAGGGGCCGCCTGGAGTGGCGGGGCTGGAAGGGCAGTGTGGTCACCTGGCAGGGCTGGGCACTGTGCCCGAACCCTGCGTCCCCCTCTGGGGGCTCTCAGGCAGACTCGGCTCCACGGCCCTCCAGACCCCACAGGGCCCGCAGCCGTGGCCCATCGTCCGTGGCCTCTCCTGGTAGGAAGTACCACCTGACCCAACGCCCCTGTGTGAGGGTGGGCGGTAATCACCCTGCCCCCGTGACGGCAGCACACTCCTGGCCGCAGTCCAGGGCAGACTCAGGAGGGGCCGCAGTCCTCAGTGTTTTCTAAATAAGGGACGAAGAAAGCAGGGCTGGGGAGGGAGCTCGGGTCCAGTCTCTCGGCGGGTCCTGCCCGCCGGCTGCTGTGCTCACTCGACTGGGATGGAGACCTGCGGGCGTCTGGGAGGGAAGGCCTCCTGGTGCCAAGAGGAGGAGCGGAGGCTCAGAGGAGAGCCCAGCAGCGGAAGGGCACGGTCACACTCACGGCTCAGGGTCACGTTAAAGCTGCTATTACTGAGTCCCTACTGTGTGCCGGGCCTTTGTCTCCAGCTCACTTGTCTTTTTTTCCCTTTTGTTTCTCTTTGCCTTTGTCCCCCCCCCCCCGCCCCCATTTCTCCCTCTCTCTCCGAAACTAAATGGGATCCAACTGCCAGCTCCCTGTGTGTTCTCCCGCTCACGGCTCAGCCCTTTCATTATTAATAGAAATATGTCCTCATTGTACAGCTTAATTCTGCTTATCTGGAGTGGATTAAGTGCTTACAATGACATGCAGTATTGATTCCTGAGCATCCCTCTTAAAGGAATTTTGCCACGACCTAATTAGTTCCATAAAACCTGGGGAGGATGGGACGAGGGGGCCAGGGGGGCCCGGGAGTCAGGAGCCCTGGGTCCTCATCCCCAATGACATCAGGGATGCTGTGTGACCTTAGATCAGGATCTCCCCTCTGGGGGCCTGGACTTGGACTGCTCTGGGAGCCAGAGGTGGGGCCAGGTGCCCAGAGTCCTCAAGGGTAGGAGGTGCAATGGGTGAGAGCATGCACTCCGGAGCCCAATCCCCAGGTACAAATCCCTGCTCTCTCACCCGCTGGCTGTGCCGCGTGGGCAGGTTACTTCCCTTCACGGCCCCTCAATCTCTCCATCTGTAAAGTGGGGCAACTGGCAGGTCCTGGCAGGAAACGGATGGCTCTCTGCGTGGGGCAGTTGAGGAGGGTTTAAGGAAAGGACTCTGGACAACAGTGGGGGCAGGTGGCAGGCAAATGAGGGATAGTGCGGTGCCCTGACTTTCCTAAGAGTGGGAGCAGCTCCAGCCCCTGGCCCATGCCCGAAGAGGGAGGACAGGGGGCCGCCGCTGTGACCCGCACTGTGGAGAGGGCCACCCGACTGGAGCCAGGACCCTGAGTGAGAACGGAGCCTGCCCAAGGACCCTTGCTCTCCCTCTCCTCCCCCATGCTGGGCTCCTTATCGGCTGAGGCCAGCTGGGTGGCAGAGGGGTCAGCCCTGCACACAGAGCAGTGCTCGTGGCCTCCCTGGGTGCTGAGAGAGACCAGGGACGCACACAGATTGCAGTCTTGGTCTGTCACCCCTTGACTGGGGGCTTCTCTGAACCTCAGTTTCCCTCTATGTAAAGAGGGACTGGCTAGATCTTTCCATCTGGCTTTGCCTACCTAACCTGGCCACACAGAACTGAGAGGTGTTCCTTTGATCTGGCTGCAAATCCCAACTGTGAGCCCTCACCTAGAGGGGGATGGGAAAATGATCGGATTGCTGCTGGAGGAGGGCCCGGCACGCAGTAGGTGTGCAGCACACACCACTTCCCTTGTTTCATTTCACTTCAGCAGAAGACGGGGCAGAAATGTTCCTGGAGGGCTTTCTTTTACCAGGTGACCTGCAGGGTGACACAGTGAGATGCAGGACAGCGCCCAGGCCATCTGCATGCGCAGGCCTGGATGATGGGGGGGGAGACGGGCAGGGGGCTTACACAGCTCTGATGAGCCCTGGTGCCCTCAGAACTGGCTTCCTCTCCCCTCTCCCAGACTGCTCGGGCGGGGTGGGTCTCTCTGTACCCCGGGTGCCGTCTGCAGCCTGGCCCAGCCGCAGGCCAGAATTTGAGTGTGTTCTTCCACCGGCTGACAAGTCAGTGCAGAAACCAAGGTCTGGGTCAGGTGATCTGGGTTCCACGTTTAGTCCTCACTTTGGTCTGCTCACCTGCCTCGCAGTGCGGTCCTGGGACTCGCGTGTGGTGGGGGCTGCCAAAGCGGGCTCCCATTCCCGCTGACAGAGTGCAGGGCCCGGGCTGGTGTCTGAGCCCCGCACGCTGGCTCTGTCACACACCCCTCCGCCACGCTGCTGGTCTCAGCCTCGACGCCGCCGGCTCACAGGCAAAACTAGGCCCCCGTGACTCGTTTCCAGTTTTTAATGTTTTTCTTGTAAAACCCAAAATATAAAACTGGAAGGGGAACGGAAAACAAGTTCTGTACATTTTATGTACACGAGGTCTGTGATTTCAAAACCATTGGGGAGGGAAAAGGAAGGCAGGGGAATGTCGCGGGCCACGGATCCTGACGGGCACTTCTGAGCACCCAGCTCGGGCTCAGGACATTGTCCCTGGCCAGCGCAGGGCGGCTGCCGCAGACCCGGCACCCTGAGTCTGTGGGGAGCTTCGGCCTGGTGGCCCGGGGCTGGGTGCACGGAGGGTGGGGACAGATGGTGAGCGGGCAAGGCAGTGTCTGCGATGGAGGGAGGACAGGTGCAGGCTGGGCCCTCCTTCAGGTGTCCGTGTAGATGGACGGGATGTGACTCAGGCAGTGGTCAAAGGCCCCGTTGGGGAAGAAGCCGCAGTCCTCAGGGCCACTGGACACAATGTCTTCGGATGGCTGTGGAGGCAGTGCCGAGGGGCATGGGGCTTCGGCCAGGGCCTCGTAGCCTGTGGGTGTGGGAGGGAACAGGGTCCAGGCTGGAGAATGCAAGGGCTATGCCATCTTTTCCCAGCTCCCTGGCCCCACCCTCCTGTCACTGGTGGAGGTCCCACTGGTTCCTTCACACAGTGTCCCTTCGGTGGGGCCTGCTCTGAGCCTCTGCTCTTCCGGACAGGGGAGCTGGTGGGTGGCAGGAGGCACTCGGGGCCTTGTACTGCCAGGGCGCCCAGGGCAGCTGGACAGACAGCGGCTGGCTTGGAGCAGTCATCACCCGGTGCTGGACTGTAGGGAAGACTGTGGGGGATGGGGGTGGGCTATCACAGCTCGTGTCCTCGGGGGCTGGACCCCTTCTGGCAGAGGAGCACAGCCCACCCCCACACTTCTAGGCTCCTTCACCCCACGAGACACAAGGAACACACAGAATAGGACCAGCGCTGACGTGGCTCTTACCAAGGTTTCCCTGAAGTCTTATCTCACTTCGACCACAACAATCCTGTGAGGTAGGTGTCCTTATCCTATTTTACAGCTGAGAAGATGGGCTCAGAGAGGCCAAGACACTTGCCTAAGGTCATAGGGCTAGTAAGTGGGGGAACTGGGATTTGAACCCAGATCCATCTGGCTCTGAGACACCTGGCTCTTCCATTAGACATGTTCCACTGCTCAGAGGCCCTTAACCTGGAGGGGCCTGGAGTGGGTGTCTTATCCAGTCCCTGCCCTAAGGGCTCTGTCCCTGAGCTGCCATCACGCAGCTGCAATCTGTGTAGCCTATGACAGGCGGGCCTCGGTCTTCCCATGTGTGCAGTGGGATCACGCTGAACTACTCCTGAGGCCCCCCACAGCCCCACCCTATGTCTGGATCAATCCTGCGTGTCTATTCTCAGCTTGGCAGAGGATGTATGGGCAACTGCACGGGGCCTGGAATGGGCACTGAACGCTGGGCTGCCCCCCAGATGGCAGGGGAGAAGGGAGGCCAGAAGGATCCACTGTCCTGGTGCGGAAGCTGCCTCCTGCCCACCAGAGCTATCTGTGTCTGCTGCTGAACCAGGAAAGCTTGCCACAAGCCGCACAGAGCAGGTGGAGGAAGAGGTGGTGAGCCAGCAGTGCCGGGAATGGCAGCCGGTGCCTCGTTGTACACCAACCCACGTGTGTACAGACAGGGAACGCACCCGCCCACCCACACACACCCTGTGATCGGTACACATCTGCCTGGTTGCGTGCACGTGACACGCGGCCACCTGCAGACATGCTCACGCTGCGCTTGAACACAGTCTGTGCACACAGACAGGCATCACGGGATCTGTGCACACAGGCGTCATGGGGTGGGTAACACGCAGTGTGTCCGCAGGGATGGGACTCGGGGGTGGGTAGCACAGTGTGCACACACTGGGAACACGGAGATCGGGCCCATGTGTGTGCACACAGACTGGGCATGAAAGGCACAGGCATGATGGGTGCACACGTGTGCGGACATGGACGCACATACCTGTGAGCTCCCTGCATACTCACAGGGCTCTTACCACTTGGAGTCCACCTGTGCTGGCCCTACGTACACCGGCACATCCAGACGTGACCACAAACACGTGACGAAAGAAGACATACACGGACATGAGGGCCTGTGTGTGACTAGGAACACTTGGACCCACATGCAGATGGACCAACAGGTTTCTGCATGCTTGTCTGTGGCCTCACTATTGTCCCTCTGTCCTTAATCCTCTAACCCCAGCTGCACACACCCAGAGCCACCGAAGGGGCCTCTGGCACAGGGCCTCAGGCTCCCCCTTCTCTGGGGTGCCCCACCTGCCCAGGCCTTGTAGCTTCTGGCTGGACCCAGGCCTGCAGGCTGACTAGGGGTGGGGCTGCGCTGGGCGGACTCAGGGAGGGTCTGCCCCCTGCCCCATCCGATGCTTCTGCTCTGATCAGCACTGGCCTTGCTGGCCTGAGCCTTATTCCACCCTGAGCTGTGCACAGCCCTCCCTCTCACTGGGCTTCTCCACCCCAGCCAGGGGCATTGCGTGGGGAAGGCCCTGGGCTCTGTGGGGGATGCGATGCAGCACAAGGAACAAGCACAATCTCTCGGTTCTCTCCTTTCCTGGTGCCCCTCTGGTCTCATTTTCTTCATCTGTTAAAGAGAGATCAGTATGTGTCTCTTTCCCTGCTGTATCCCCAGGGTCTACAACCATGCCTGGTACATACTCAGCGCTCAGTAAATATCTGAAAGGAAACATCAGCTAGCCTGCAAGCTCCCAGTCTGAGTCTTCTCTGTCTTCTGAAACCTGCCAGAGTCCAGACATGTATCACACACCTTCTGTGGGACAGCGCGGAAGAAACACTGACTTCGGAGGTGGGAAGGATGCAAATCCCAACTCTGGGGGGTCCTGGGACCTGTGTGAGCCTTTATTTCTCCTTCTGTAAAGTGGGGATGACTCTACCCTCTGGGCTGTCCCAAGGCTTCAGGACAATGTACACAAGTACCCCAGAACAGGGCTGGGCCTTGGGAGGTGGCCAGGGAATGGAGGCGTGCAGGGGGAGGGCTCACCTGTGGTAGGTAAAGGTGCACTGAGGCTGTGGTAGCCGTTAGGCCGCAGGGGGTTGAAGCCGTGGGCTTCCCCAGCCAGACTGTCCCCACTGGCTGCTGGCTCGGCCGTCCGGTAGCAGTCGCCGTAGGGGAAGCAACTTTGGATGGAGTGGAAGCTGCCCTGGTACCCTGCGGAGGGGGGCGGCAGGGGCTGCACTGACCAAGGGAAGACGCCCAGGGCAGAGAGGGGACTGTCCCCGCGGCACTGTTCAGCCTCCCGTATCGTCCTGTCCAGGCATGGTGCATGCAGAGCAGAGAAGACAGCCCCAGGGTGGAGAAGGTGCGGGTGTCCTGGGCCCCCTTCCCAGCTCTGTGTGGTGCCCGAGGGGGTAGGGTGAGGCGGCCTCACGTGGCTGCACCTGACCTGAGTCGTTTGCGGCTGACGTAGTGCTCTGAGGGAAAGGACTGTTGGCCCTCCATCCTCACCTCCTGAGGTGCCAGCTCACTCACTTCCTCCAAGCAGCAGGCTGTGCCCACCCCCCTGCCAGAGTGGGTGCTGTTCCTGCTGCTGGGAGAGCCCTGCCATGCCTTGTCAATGGAACAAATGCTACCTCACCCCTCAGATGGAATTTCCTCCAGGAGGTGGTCCCCCGACGAGGTGTGTTGGGTCACCTGACCCCTAGTTTCTCTCAGGGAGACCCTCAGTGCCCTCCAGCATTCCGAGTCCCCACCTGCCTCCCCAGGTCAGTGCCTTGCTCCTCTTGGGCACCTGAGGAGTCAGTAGATGTATACGGAGAGGGCCCCAGCCAGAGCTTACCTTGTGGACTGGGCAGAGGTGGGGGTGGAGGGCTCTGGAAGGGCGGGTAGGGTGGCTTGCTGGGGAGTGTGGGGAAGGGCTGGCCCCCTGGAGAATGGCTCTGGGAGGATGGTGGCAGTGGTGGTGGCCCGAGCCCCTTCAGTGGGCTGACCATAGGTGAGAGGAGGCCGGGTCCCAACCTAGAGAGAACAGAGATGGCCATCAACAGGATAGGCTCTGGGGGAGTGCAAGGGGAGGGCAGTGGGGACCTGAGGCGTGGCTGCTGCTGCTTGCTTCCCTCCAGGAACACTGAGCTCACTACCTCATTCTCTCTGACTTAAGACAGTGCAGTTAGAAGAGGAGGCTTTTACTTCTTATTATGTTCAAATTGGAATCAAATTTTAAAGTACTCTGAGCTTCAGAATCCAAAGGAATCAGCGAAGAAGAACTTCTATCTAGCATTTAGGACTGGAAATCAGCAAGGAACACTGGTTACAAGCATGGCCGTTGGAGTCGACAGAACTGGGTTTTATACCCTGGCTGCTCTCACCGGCCACGTGACTTTGGGCAGGATGCTTAAGGACTCTGAGCCTTGGTTTCCTCACAGTGTGGCTGTGTCTCCACCCGGCGCACTTACTACTCTAATCACCCGGGGCTAACCACCAGCCGCTCCCACTGGGTCCTGACACTCTCCCTCTGCGCTTGCCGCTCTGGCCACCCCTGGAGGACGAGTCCAGAACAGCTGCACTGAAAGCTCTCATGCTCCCTTAGCAGGGGAAGATCCCATGGCTCTTACTGAACCCATTTATTGAGCCCCTGACTCACCTCAGGCCCCATGAGGGAAGTTCTTGTTTCTGCCTCCCAGATCAAAACACCAGGGTTCAGAGAGGCTGCTCACCAAGTTAGTCCTGGCCACACAGCGCTGACCTCACAGGTTATGACGTGGGTAAAACTAAATAAGCACCCAAGACGATGTTGGATGTACCATCGTTATTCTAAAGATGTAGGGAAAGAAAACTAGCAGATAGGTCTCACATCCAAGTTGGGCTTTATTCCCCTGCACAGTGTGCTTTCAGGGACCTTCTGTCTCCAACCCTGGACATCTCCCCTCTACTTGCATACATCCTGTGATGAGGGGCTCACCACCTCACTTCATCCAGAGTCAGTTACCTTGAGCCCAGCTGAGCCCATGTGGGTCATCTAACTGGACTGCATAGCACTGTACACCAGGTTCCTTCCTCACGCTGCCACCTAAGCCTCTGGGTCTTCACAGGAACCAACATGGCCCCGAGGTCGGATGGACTTAGGGGCTCTGGGGACCAGGCTGAGGGCTCATAGCCTATAAAGCACTTACGTGCATTGCATAAAGGGGGGTGTAGCTCAGACAGTCCATCTTCTTATGGGCATTTGTGGATTTTGGACCATCCCCATGCAAATACACTACCAATTCAATGTCACAGCTATAGGTGACCTTTTCAGGCCAAGAATATTACCCTTGCCTACCCTCTAAAACGTGATGTGTGAAAGGGACAGATCAGTGCCTTTCACTGAAACAGAGAAAGATTTGGGGAGAAGCCAGTGGGCTCCATGTCTGTACTCTGCTGGAGTCTGTACTCTGCCCCATCTGCCTCCTCCAGCCTGGGTACCTGCCGTTTCTGCCCCTTGGCTGCACCGCCATCATTCATATGTTTGGAACCCCACCGCTGTGAGCGTGCCAGTGGCACAAGGGGGCCTTAGTGCTGGGTCCCTAGTCCCCAGCCCAACATCCAACACACTGTAGGTGCCCATCAGCCTCAAGTTAATGAACTGAGTCCTCATCAAGCTTCCGTGAATTATTATCATCGTCATCATTAACATTTTTAGGTTTTTCTCACAGGGTTGTCCAGTAGGACAGTGGTACAAACTGTAGATGGTTGTGCATGAGCTGTGTGTCCTTGTAGCCAGTTCTCTGGCTGAGGCGGGGCCGTGGTGTGGCCGGGGGGTTCCTCCTTCAAGCCCACTTCGTGGTGTCCACCTGCCTGATGCCCACCCCACCCTGGCACTCACACGCAGTTCTTCCCTGACTTCTCGTCCGCCCCCTCCCCTGGGAGCTCATGAGGAGGGCCAGGTCTCTGCCTCTGAGGCACTGTGTGCTTAGCACTGGGCCTGACGCACAGCAAACAGCTGATAAATACTAACAAATGGCTTTCTTAATCACTCAGCTACAAAGCCCAGAGATTAACAGCATTGCAGAATTAAGGAGAACCAGATCTGAAGGGGGAAAAAAACACATGCATTCTCCACGTTTGTTTTTCCTGTCTCAAACCTGCCATAAATTCACATTTGCCACCTTCACAGCCAGTGAAATTAAACAGAACACGACTCTCCCCAGCAGCCGCGAAGACTGAGGTTACGCGGCTCTACCTGAACTCTTGAAAAGGAAAAAAGATCATCTGGAGCTCCTCTTCTGAGTCATGCCAATGACTCCTAAATCAAATATTTTTGCTTCAATTGGAACCTATAAAAATTAATATAAAACCTCACTGGCTTGGCAGACTGAGGGCTTCATACCTCGTATGGGGCTGGGGAAAAAGAAAAAAACTGCCCTATTCGGCGTCTTCTCTGAGCCAGGGTAAATAAATTTGGTCATGAAGTCAGGCCCTCTTAGCATAGTTTTGAGTGAATCAGATAATTCTGTCAAGCTATTTAAACGTCCTAGCAAACCACCGGGGAGCCGCCAGTGGCCTTCCCTGTTGACTTTGGCAGGAAGGGGAGGCTAAGGCCTTTTCCCCCTGCCTTGCCTCTCTTCTCAGGGGCTGAAAAAAGAAACCCATTCAAGCCAGCGCTGGGCCTGGGCCTGGTGTCAGGCTTGAGGGCCCTCTTCTCCTGCAGCCCAGCCCAAGGAGCCTGGGCGCCTGGCCGGTTGGGAGGCCTCGAGCCCTTGCTCCCACTCCTGCAGGCGCAGGCGGGTGGATGGCGGGCTGGGCCGTCCTGCTCTTGTCATCACTCTGCCTCTCACTGCAGGAATTCTTGACTGGCACTTATGCGGGCAGCAGGCAGGTGATGAATGAGGTGGAGCAGAGAGCACAGGCCTGAGTGGGGAAAGGCCTCTGTAGTTTATTTTTCTTTGGTTGGAGATGTTTTGGGGCTGGCTGGTGGGTGAGCAGGTGGCCTGAGCCCGTGGGTGGGTAGGGGGGTAGGGTCCGTGGAACCTGTACCAGATGACACATACAATGCTAGGCATGTGTAGGTCACGCACGGCTGATCCTCACCACCTTCCTAGAGGAGGGTATTTTCATACCTATTTGACGGAAGAAGAAACTGAGGCTCAGGGAGGCCTGGTTCTCTGGGTCCCCCTTTGAACTCCATCAGGCAGCCTCTTCGTGGCTCCCCACCATCTTCCTACTTCCCCTGCTCTTCTACCTCCCCAGGGGCTCATCTCTGGTGGCTCCCCACCTCCTCCTCTCCCCACCCAGTAGGAGTCCCCCCCCAGCCCTGCTTATTCTATGTCGATAATGCCTCCTGGTAATCCACCCCCCTGCCTAGCTCTGGCTCAGGCTGCCATCCACCCATGTTTGATGCTGCGCCTGGCAAGCAGCCCCACACTGCAGGCTGCACACTCCTCCCCAAACTGACCACATCCCTGCTCAGCACCCTTTGCGTACAGCCCTGCCGCAGGCCTCATGATCTGGCCCCGGCGACCTCCCTCCTGAGCCTTGTCGCTCCACACGAAGGTTCATGTTTCCCAGAATACGCCAAGCTCTACCCACATCGATTCTCTCGCTGCTAGTTCCTCCTAATGTCTCCACTCAGCCAACTCCTACTTAACCTTGGAGGCCCAGCTTAGCATCACCTCCAGGAAGCCTTCCCTGACACTGTCCTCCAGCTCACTGGGTTCTCCTCTGGACTTCCACAGCCCCTTCTGCTTCTTTCCTCAGAGCACTTGTCCCATGTGGTCAGTCCTGCAGCTCTATCTCCCCTCCTCACGGTGAGCTTCTCCGGGATGGGGCCTGTCAGCGGCTCCAGCACTGGGCCCAGGGCCTGCCCACACCAAGGACTCAATAACCGGACACTGAGTGAATGGATGAGTGAGTAGCAGAAGGAGCCTGGTTCGGAGCCCTGGACAACAAATTTGGTGATGAAGCCAGGATGGCCCAAGGCAAGGTAGGCCAATGCCAAGGCTAAAGCTGTGGTCTTAGGGAGGAAGGGCAGAGGAAGAAGGTGCCGAGGCCAGGCCTTGGGGGACAAGTCTGACTGAGTCCTGCTAGCGATAAGTGAAAGTGGTGGGCAGGGCAGGCGGCCGGGCTCTGGGACCTCCCTCTGCCCATCTGCCAGGCGAGGCGATTCTGGCAGCACTAAGGGCCAGCAATTAGCACATTTACCATTTCCAGCCAATTAAGCGGCCACAATGGGAACCACATTGAATATAGAAAAGGCTACTCCTCTTTGCAGTGATCCTACAGCAGGGGCTCCCGGACCGGCAGGCTGGGCCACGACCACAGCTGCAGTGGCCAGAAGTGGGGGCAAGGGCCCGATGAGCACCTCTGGAGTGGGCTATGGCAGTCTGCTCCCCACATGCATGGTGCGAGCTGAAGAGAAGCCAGGGTGAGGTCCCCAAGGAGGCCTGGTATGGTGGTCCGGAATGCGGGGCGGGGGGCACAGCGTCTTCCCATGGCTGTGCTCACAGGGGAGGTGCACCCGAGATACGGCAGCACGAGGTCCAGGTGCCAGGACCATCTACCCGGGAGCGCTGCCGTGAGGCACCAATGAGATCGTGCCCAGAAGGTGTTTGGTATGGAGTGCAGGACACAGTAACTGTAAGCGCTGCCTATGTGTTGGCTATTTTCACGGTCGGCTGCGACCACTTAGTTCAAGGGACGCCCACCCTCCCCCTCCTCCCATGCAGGTGCCTGCTCACTGCCCCGGAGGAGGAGGACTGGCTTGCTGTACATACCCATCCCTGGTGCTCTCAGCCGCGGGTAGAGGGGACAGATGGTGGTGGGAACCGCTGGTGGCGTCCAGTGAGTGGTGTCTGGAAGGGACATCGTGCATGGAGGGCAGGATGCCTGACGCGAGCCCGTTATGGGGGGTGATGGAGCCGGGATACACGCCTGTGGGAAAGCAAACACATGTCACTGGGCTTCGGCCACTTGCTAGATGTGGCTGTGAGTGGCCCCGGGGCTGTGTGCCTGCTGAGAGAAAGAGAGAGACAGGGAAACCTTCAGGGCCGTATTAACAGAAGGTTGGGGGCCCAAGCAAGGAGATGATGGCCCCACTCTGCTGTTCATACCCTGGCCGAGGGGCTGTGTGTGGGGCTGAGGTCTACCCTGAAGGCAGAGGCGGTGGACTGACAAGGGGGCTGTCAGAGGCATTGCGTGGTCAAGCTGTGTGCGTGTGCACGTGTGTGCGTGTAAGCGTGTGTGCCCACACGTGTTTTGGGGGACAAGAGGGCTGTATGCAGCAGGCTGCCTGAAGTCTCTGGGGCTATTCTGGGAAAGAAGAAGCTTGCTCTGTGCAGCCCCAGAGGCAGACAGGAATCCAGAAATGGAGAGAAGCTTGAGAGAATCTCAGGACTTGGCCATACCTTCTCCCCAGCAGAGTTGCTGGAGGGTCATGGGCTGCTTTTGGATAAAATGAACTACCCACACCCAGAGATGTGCAAGCACAGCCTGGATGTCCACTGTGAAGGATCCCAAATAAAGATGGCTGTGCTAGCTAGATGGCAGGCTGGCCCAGGAGACCTATGGGAAGGGATGCCACAGACGGTTGTAGAGGCTGTATACTGCACAAGGGTCCTGACTGAGGAGAGGAGTCAGCCATGCTCTATTCTATGATTCTAAACCTCTAGAAGATATCTGCAAGGTGATACCACTTTTTGGCACCTCTTACTCCTAAGGGTCTTACTCTTGTTAAGAAGATAGGTAGGGGAAAAATCAAATGGGGGACATTAGGTCATAGTCAGATGTTGCTCCAGGGGCCTAATTGATGGTCTGAGAGCAGTTACTAGGCCAATGCTCCCCAAATGCCTTCACTAAGGAACCCCAATGAGAGGGGAGATTGGACTCCTACTCTGGGACTGGAGCCTGAGAGGAACTCAGCAAGGGTTGCAAGTTTTTCTCTTTCATCTGAAAAAATGGGGCCAATTTTGTTCTCCCTTTTAAAATCTGGCCATGTTTATTTGAATTTAGATAGAAACTGACATCCTTTTCCTAGAAATCAACTCATTTAGTTGATGCCCTCGGAAGACTCTGCAGACTGGGGACCACACTCAGAGCTGTCTTGATGCTGTGTTCACGCTGGTTAGTTGAGCTCACCTGAGCCCACTGTTATGTTTTCAATCACTCCGCTCATCATGGATCCAGACCCAATGCTCTTTATCATGAGGAGCATTTGAACATATACCACACAAAGGCTAGCCCCTCTCGCCCAGGCCTGCAACTTGGGAAGTTACTACCAGGCATTGAGGAGGGCCGGAGCAGGGGTTGTGAGCTCAGACCCTCAACTGCATCTAGCCAGGTCTCCCAAGTGATACCAAGCGAAAGTCCCATTTAAAGCCAGGCCCAGGAAATGGCCCGGGGCTCCAGCTCAGGCCACATCCTAGACGGCCAGGTAGGGTCCTACGGTCCAGGCTTCCCTGTGGGCTGGCTGTGAGACCCCAGTGCTCTAAATGGGCTCTTGGAGGCCCTCTGCCCCTCTGCTGCAGTCCTTATGCCTCTGTCTCAGGGACCTCCGCCCCACGGGCAGCCCTGCCCATCCATCCACCCACCTACCCCCCTTTACCACACATCCCTCCCAGCTTGGTGAGGAAGGCACTGGAGAAGACTTCCAAGGCTGGAGCCTGGCTCGGTGCTGCTCACGGTGTGCTCTGTTTGGAGCACCTCCTCACCTGCCATCTTGAGCCAATTTGGGGGTCTGACAGCTAGGAAGGCCCAGGGTCCTGATAAATCCTGCTCTCTCTCCCTCAGCCACATGGACCTCGTGCTTCTCACATCCTCACTGCCTGCCACATTACCTGGGGCTGCTAAAGGGGCCTGCCAGGAAGCCTCCTGAGGGTTTCCTATGAGGTGAGCCGGTCCTTCCTTATGAGACAAGCTCTTGGGAATTTCCTGTCATCAGACAACAAAAATTCCAGGTCATCCTTGCCAGCTACTCTCATGCCCTCACTCCTCTGTTCTGGACTCCTCTGACCTAACACTCCTTGAATCTGTCCCATTGCCCTCTGCCTCTTGCCCTGCCTGTCCAGTCCCATACAGACAGACACGCGGGGGGCTACTGTGTGAACGAGGCATGCTAAGCCGTGGACAGAGAGTGGATGGCAATGAGGGAGTCACCGCATCATGAGGGGCAGCAGGAGGGGGACGCCACGTGAGCCTGCTGGCCTCTCCCGCAAATGCACCATTTGAGGCTATAAATCAGCATCATCAATCCTCAGCCACGAGCGCTTAACCTCTGGCCCTAACATCTGTTCTCAACTGTGCCTCAAGCATTTGCAGTGTGGCCTATAGGAGAACTGGCACTAAAACCCAGAGGATCCGGGGCTTCTGGGGTCCCCTGTCTCCCTGCTGTGTTGCAAGCAGCTTAAGGACAGGGACCAGCACAGAGCCTGGCACCCAGCAGGTGCCCAGGAAGGTAAGATCTAGCATCCACAGCAGGGAGGCAGCAGACACTCTGATTAAGGGCACGGCCTGTGGCCAGATGGCCTGGGTTCAAGTCTGGCCTCTGCCATTTACTGACTGTGGAATGTCAGCAGAAAGTTACTTAACCTCTTGAGGCCTCAGTTTCCTCATCTGGAAAAGAAAGAGCACAGTAGCATGTACTTTATGAGGCTGACGTGAGGATTCTGTTAACATATACTTGTACAGCCCCTACAATGGCTTCTTGTGACAAATATTCAGTAAATGCTGGCTTGTATTATTAGGAGATGGGTGAGTAAATGGTGACTCTTTTCATTCACCTTGAGCAGAATAATAAGGATCATAGAATTATTGGTCACAGTGGGTTTATGTAAGTGATCACATCACAATCCCATTTGTTGTCACAGCAGGTCTGGGGGAGAAATTGAGGCTTGAGGCAAGGAGGACACCACTCGCTCGCTATCAGAGCAGGCCTGCATAGGTGTATTACCCTAATGCCCCCACCATCCATGACGTGGCCTCAGTGACTTTGTTTCTCATCTGTAGCATGGGCTCATGGGGACCGAATGAGATGATGTTTGTTTGGTGACCCGCCCATGCAGGTGCTCAAGAGACAGCTGTTGCTGGCCTGGCCCTTCTCCCTAGGATAGGCCCTGGCCTGGTATCTGGGAGAATGGGCTTCCAGCCTGGATCTGCTGCTGACTCCTCCAGATGACCTTGGGTCCGTCCTCCTCCTGCCTAATCCTGAATCTTCCCAGGATAAAAATGATGGGGTGGCAGGACCTCTGCCCCAGGACAGCCATTGCTAATTGGTCACAGCCCTCTTTTGCTGTCAAGCCTCAGAGTCCTTGACACATCCCTGTCCTTTGGGTCTCTTGTCACCTGCTATTTTAGGAAATCTGATCCTGTGAGAAGCAGCCGTGGCAGAGGGGCCCCCTAGCTGGCAGAAAGAGGGTGTGCTCCCTTCTCCACAGATCCATCCTACTGAGCAGGGCCGGGGGTGGGGGGTGTCCTTGCCCTTGTGGACCTATGAGAGCAACCATCTCTCTGAAAGGCAACCCAGAAAAAGGACAAACGCCTTCTCTTCCTGAGACTATTTGGTAAATGCTTTGACACAGTTTTAAATCTGCGACTACTTCGACACTGTGGGGAAAGCATTAAAAATGAGAAAATAGGGGCGCCTGGGTGGCTTAGTCGGTTAAGCGTCCGACTTTCGCTTAGGTCATGATCTCGCGGTTCGTGGGTTCGAGCCCCACGTCGGGCTCTGTGCTGACTGCCAGCTCAGAGCCTAGAGCCTGTTTCGGAGTCTGTGACTCCTTCTCTCTCTGACCCTCTCCTGCTCACGCTCTCTCTCTCTCTCTCTCCTAGAAATAAATAAAACATTTAAAAAAAAATTAGAAAATAAAAAATGTCTAAAATGGTTAGAGTAATTCAAGAAATCCCAGAGAGTGGGAAGAGCGTTCTGCTCTGATACTGTGGTTTCTTTGTGGGGTAGGGAGGGCAGAGCACAAGTTTTGTCAGCTGGAATCCGCCTGCAGGCCACACCGCAAGCCACGCAGGCAGCGAGGGGGGTCCTGCTGGGCCTGAGACCTGCCTCTTGGCCTGCGGCTTCGTGGGGAGGACGGACAGGCTGTGTCGAGTGGACCAGTGGCTCTGAGTGTCCACCTGGATGGGGCTGCGGGGTCCCCAGGGGGGGTTGAGGGGCTCCGTCTCTAGGCCACAGAACTGAACACGCAGGAAGTGATTTTGGCCACCTTGCCCACCTTCTCTGAGCCTTGGTTTTCTCCTCTGAGGCAGGAAGCTGTGGTATGGAGTCCTGGTGGGAGCACATGGGTCTTTAGGTTGAGGCCCGGGCCTGAACCCTGAGGTGGGGCCTGAAGGCAGTGCAGGAGTTGCCTCGCTGAAGGGCTGGGGTGAGGACACCGGCAGGGGGTATACGGTGGCTCAGAGGCAAGAGGGAGCCAAGGATGTCCAGGGAGCTATGTTTGCTGTGCCAAGGCTGGTGGGGGAGGCTGTCAGGAGTGCCTAGGCCCGTTAGGCCTCAAAGACCAGGCTGAAAGGAGCCTGGGCTTCATCCCCTGGGCACTGGAGCCACAGAAGAGTGTGAAGGAAGGTAGGTCAGAGGCGCGGGTGCCCTTCACCAAGTCATGCCCACTCGCTGCTGGGCGCCCGCAGAGTGTCACTATCTTCCTACAGGGCTGGCTGGCTGTGAAAGGGCCCTCCTGGGCTGCGCACCTGGCCCCTGCCTGCCCGCACGCATACCTGGGAGCAGCTCCGGGGCGCGGCCGCCCTTCCTCTCGCTGGCCGCCAGCTGTGTGGACCCATGGAGCTGTGGCAGGGCCAGACACTCGGTCAGGACGTCAGCCTCAGAATCAGGGCCTGTGTGCAGCTGAGGAGCAAGCAGAGGGAGAAGGGGTGCTTGTGTGAGACCCTCCATTTAGGGGACAGGGCAGGAAGGATGGTGGCTCCTCACTGTGCCTCAGTTTCCTCATCTGTAAAATGGAGCCAACTGTATACACTGGGTTAGTTCAGGTCTGAGAAGCAAACACTAAGAGTACAAGGATTTTAACAGAGGAAGTGCCTGAGTGAGAGAAAACCAGGGAGCTGGGCAGGCTGGAGAGGGAAGAGGGGGAAGGAGGTTGGTGAAAGCTTCCTAGACTAGGAGTCCTCAGGGAGCTGAAGTGTGCCGGAAGTCCCAGGGTCCTGTGTCTCCCAGGCATCAGCCTCTCTGCTGGGCCTGCCACACTCAGTCCTTGGCTGGGAGGAGCCTACAGGAGCCGTGGCTTCACACGCATGCCCAGAAGGTGTCAAAGTGCCGCAGCTGGGGCCTCCCACAGGTAGCCGGGGCTCCAGGTGGCCCATTCTTGGGGCCGCCCCACAGTGAACTCACGCGGGTAGAGTAAATACAGTGGGCACACAGGAAGTGTTTTTCCTTCTCTCCCCTGTGCCCCCATCCTCCTTTCTTCCTAGTATGAGGCACGGTGGAAATAGTCCAGGGCTAAGGACTGAAAACCCATTTTCAAACTCCACTCCCATCTCTTCTTCCTCCCTGTGTGACACTGGACAAATAACTTAACCTCTCTGGCTCTCCCCTGCCTGCAATAAGCAACGACAATCATCCGTCCCCACCAGGCTGCTCTGTGGAGTAGGGAGATGACAGGTATGTACAAGTTTGTTGAAGGTACTGTATGAAGGGCCGGCTGACCCCAGCTGGCTGTGTCCCACATGGTCGTGTGACAGTGGGCATGCTGCATCCATGTATGGACTTGAGGTCGTTGGCTGAGAGCAAGCCTGGGCTGCCAAATCTTTGACCAACAACCCTTAGCCATCTTAAAAGTAGACTTGAACTCCATAGCCCAGAATATCTTCACCTTCCCAGATAGGCCAGATGGGGACAGGGAGTGGCCAGGTGAGGCCCTTGGGACATCGGGCGGTGAGGCAGGAATGCACCTGGAAGGGACGGGCCCCCTCTTTTAGGGGAAATCTCCAACCTGACTATCAGAGCCCTGAAGATTTTGTCTGGACCCTCATTTTACCTGGGACAAAACAGACCATGGGAAGGTGGGAGCCTTGTCCCCCGTTACACAGCAGCTGGGAGTCAGCCCAAAGGGTTTTTCCACCCTCCCAGGCCAGAAGGGCCAGCACCCAGGCCTGGGGAAGGCATGCCCAGCCTCCTGATGGGCCCTCAGCTCCCTGACCCAGCAGCTGTTTTCCATGTAAATTAAGTTTCTGGCAAAAGAGGGCCAAGGCATGTTCTCGCAGACCGCAATGTCGATCGGATTAGGAGCAGCAGGAGAGGAGAATTAAGGAAGAAAAGCATTTCTAATTCTCTCTGAAACGCAGCAGGGCTGCCAAGGAGCTGTCACAGTACAAGGGTCGCTTTACCCAGAAAGATACATCATCCCCGATGGCTCCTAATGGATGCTTATGGTTGGGAAGTTTGCAGATCTGCGGCCCCAGGTCCCTGGGGCTCAGCGCGAGCCAAGCATGGGGCCTGGGAAAACCAGGGCAGGATTCTGGTCCTCGGGCACCAGTCTGCTCGGGATAGAGGCCTCCCTGGCATGCAGCCTGGGCCATTCCCCATCCCTGCTCAGGCCCTTCAACCTGACATCAGTGGAGAGAGCTCAAGCCCTGGGGACAGGCAGGTCTGGGGTGGGACCCTTGGCTCTGTCACCCCCGAGTTGCACAACCCTGCAGATCTGTTAACTTTCTGAGCCTCAGTTTCCACGTCTAAGATGAGGGATTAAAAAGTGCCCACCTCCTAGATTCACAGAGAAGACTAAATGAGATATGGTATGTGAAACACCAGGTTCAGCACTGGGTTCAGGTTTGCCCCTCCCTCACCAGAGTGAATACAGATGTGGTGTTTTCACCAGCAAGCTCATGTGCACACTCTGACCGTATCCTTCTTCTGTCCTGCTTCCAGTAGCTCCCCATTACCTGCAGGATGAAGACCAAAGCCTCAAGGCTGGCTGTGGCCCCTCAATGTCTTCCCAGCCGATGCCTGCCTATCCCAGATACATCTCTGTACCCCCCCCCCCGCCCCGCCCCCTACAGGACTGAAGTGGCCTGCTTTCTCCAGCCTCCAGCCTTTCTCTGCTTTATTTGCAGCTGCATCTCTGAAATACAGCACGTGCTCCATAAATCTTGCAGAGCAAATTAATAGGTTCTCCCTGCTCTGTCACCCACGGTCATGCTCATGTCCCTGGATTGGCTCTGGTGTTTCTCTTCACCCCCTGTCCTCCCTTGTGCTCCAGTACCCACTGCACATGGCCCTGGTGCTCTTCTGGAGAGTGGGATGAGGCCCGAGGTGGGCTCTGCCCCAAGTACTGTCCCATCCCCCTGCTGCACTGGGTCCCTCTGTGGCTCACACACTCCCCGTCCAAAACAGAACTCAATGCTTTCTCCCGTAAGCCTGCTTCTTTCTTAGATCCTCTGTCCTGGTGAAGGGGACCATCACCGTCCCACCTCTCAGAGTCTGTCTCTGCCACTCCTCTGCCATCCCCCTTCTCCCCCTCCCATCCCACTCTGCCCCAGGCCAGCCCCCACCACCTCTCCTGCTTCCCAGCAGTGGCCTCCCTGCCTCAGATTTCCCTCCAAGCAGCTCCAACCAATTCTCCATACGGACCCCAGAGCCATCTTTCAAGGGGACAGGTCCCTTCTCTGCTTAAGGCCTCTCGATGGCACCCACTGTCGTCAGGATGGCCCAAACTCCTCGGCAGAGCTCTGGGCCTGTCACGTCTGCTTCCCACGGGCCTCTTCTCCTCCTTGCCTGGCTGCTCGGCCTCGAGACAGGCAAGGTGCCTGCGGTTTCCAGCTTCAGTCACTCTGGGGGACACTCTCCTTGCTGTCTTTGCCTGCCCCACGCTTACTCCTTCAAGATTTAATGACAACATGCACCAACTTCTTTTCTGAGCTTTGACTTTGGGCCAAGTACTGTTCTACACCCTTAATGTATATTTACTCATTTAATCCTCATGGCAACCCTCTAAAGCAAGTCCTCTGTTGCCCCCACCTGACAGCTGAGGAATATGAAGAATAAAGGCACTAAGAGATGTGCCCAAGGCCATGGGCGGGCTGGCTCCCTGTCCCCTGTATCATTTCTTCCATGGACCCTCTTGCTCCTACCCTGACAGGCTAAGGTCCCCTTCTCTGTGCCCCTAACTATTCTCTGCATACTTCTATTGCCATCCTTAGTATATTATACAGAATTATCTCTTTATGTCTGTCTCTCCCTGCCAGGTCCCCATTGGAGGAAGGCACCATGGTTTTCCATTTTTGCATCCTCGATGCCTTCACAGGGCCAGGCATCGTATGTTTACTAAACGAACCATGGCGAGTGGGCAGACGAATGCCAGAGATGCTGGTGGACGGTCTATGGGTAGATAGATGTCTGGCTGGCTGGAGGTGAGGAGAGGAACTCAGGGGCCAGGTGGGAGAAAGGTGGTGGATGATGAACAGGACCATCCTTGGGCGTGTGGAGAGGTGAAAGCACATAAGGAGTGTGGGTACCTGGTTTGATGCTGGACAGGCATCTGGGAGGCCAGAGGGGCATCTGCAGAGGTGGGCCTGGGATGAAGACCGTCTTACCTTCTTACGCACCTGCTGCTCTTTAGCTGAATGGGCCTTCACGTGCTTGCGGAGAGAGCTGGGGTCCGTGTAGCGCTTGGAGCAGCCAGGGATCTGGCAGGCATACGGCTTCTGTAACACCAGAGGGGCAGAGCGGGGTGAGTCAGGGCCATCTGCTGGGCCCAAGGTCATACTGTGTAACCTGCAATGCCTGCAGGTCTGTCAGGCTGCAGGTTCACACTCTGTCCCTCCCGCTGTGTCCCCAGCGAGGAGGGAGCCGACTCTGCCAGCTCTGCCCATGGGCTTCGTAGTGAAGGAGGGGTTATATCTCCATTCTACCCTCGTGCTGGGACCTCAGGTAAGTCGCCTCCCATCTCTGAGCCTCACTCTTCTCCCTTGCAAAATGGGGCCAACTGAGTTCTAAGGATTTTCCCAGCTCTGACAGTGGCTCTGAGAAGAGTAAACCCTTTGAGCCCACAGCTGCAGAGAAGGCGTGAGTGGACAAGGAGTGCAGTGAGGTGGCTGCCTTCGAGGGGAGGGTGTGGGGGAGGGGAAGAGAGGGCACAGCACAGGGCCAAACTGGAGTACGGCAGGGCCCCAGGCTGGGAGTGACTGGTCACACCCTGCAGTAGGCTCACAGACCCCAGAATGCTCTCTGGGCCATGAGGAAACCGGATCCTCACTCCAATGATCACAGGAAGCTGAGGGTAGCTGGATCTCAGACACAGGCCTAAGGAGGCTGGGTGTCAGTGCCCTTTGTGCACTTCCTCTTAGGGGCCCCCACTGCTCATCTAGAACCAATCCATACCCTTCACCACCTCCCCTGTTCCCCTGTTCCTGCCTGGGCCTCATGCTGCTCTCCAAGCCTCCAATCTCCCCTCCCACCACAGCCAGAGAGCCTTTCACACAGCATGCTCTCACCTTTGAAAACCCCTTCATGGCTCCCTCGTGCCCTCAGACACAGCCCATCTCCTGGCACTCGGGGCCTATGGTGACTTGGGCCTGATGAAGTTCTCACGCCTCCTCTTGCCCCTGACCTTGTGCGCCCACCCCCCCCCATCCCTCCTGGAATCTTCTTTCCGCCTCGACCTCCTGATCCTCCCAAGGGCACCACTGTGCACCCAGCACTGCTGGCTTTGTTTGATGTCCTTCTCCATCAGGTGGTACATTTCCTCAGGGGATGGTCCCTTCTGATTCATCTCAAGTCCCAGGGACTGACCCAGGGAGTCGCTCTAACTGAATTCTGTGTTCTCCCTTAGGAGCTCCTGCTGGGGCTTGAAACGATCCACCCCTAAGGCCTCCCTTTTTGAATATACATAGTGGTTCTGATTTCTCAAGGCTCTCTGGCCTCCAGCAACTGCAGGAGATGGGAGGGTGTCTGGGGGATGTGGTGCCTCTCCCGTTCAGTACCAAGGACTGCTATGTGCCTGTCAGACATGCCCACGTGGACCTGCCCCCTCCCCCGCCCCAGACCTCAGGCAACCTGTCCCTGCCAGCCTGAGGACAGGCCAGACCCAGGGACCTCGTGGGGAGGGGCAAGCAGAAAGAGATGACCATACCTTGGTGCTGCCACGGACAGTTGCCAGGTTAAAGAAACGGAGGAGGAGAGCAAAAAGAAAGAGACAGTGAAATAAGAGGCTTGCCGCACTGAAAGGAAGGCACGGGGCAGAAGGGTGGAAGGTACGCCTCAGACGTGCCCTCCCCAGCCGCGTGAGACAGACATGCGCGCACACATACACGCACACACACATGCACGCACGCACACATGCATGCAACCCCACAGGCCTGCTCCCATCCCAGCGTGCACGCGCATGCGCGCGCGCGCACACACACACACACACACACACACACACACACACACATTCTCTCGCGTGGGCCCTGCCCTGTCCTGCCCCAGGCCCCGTCCCTTGGGGACGCTGATACAAATCCACACGCTTTTGCCAAAAAGCAAACAAACAGAGCTCCGTGTGTGCGGGCGCGCTCGCCTGGAAAGGGCGCGAGGCCCATCTCTGTGTTTGTTTTTCCAGGCCCTGACGTGTGGAGAACATTCCTCCGGCCCCGCTCCTCCATGAACCCTCAGGAAACCCTGTGGCTGTCCCCAGCAGCAGCCAAGCCCCAGGCCTGGAGTCCCTGCTCTGGCTCCGAAGCCTTGTTAGTAACAAGGACACCCGTACTGGTGTAGTAAGGACACAGTGCACCGGCCCACAAGGCCCTCAGGTCTGTGCGCAGCTCCTCTCCACTGGTAGCCCCGTTCAGCCTCACAACCACTGTGCGAGGAGCACAGATGAAGAGACAGGCTGAAGCTTTGTCCAAGATCTCCCGGTAAGAGTGTGCCAGTGACACTCTGTTTGGAGGCCTCCTCTCCTCTGGGCAAAGGAGATCACCCCTGCAGCAGAGGCAGTCAGGACTGGAAGTCCACACCGAGTGCCTGGGGATGCTGCAGGGTTCGGTCAGCATTCAGTCAGCAAGCCGGAGGAGGGGAAAGGAGGGACTCACATTTGCCGTGCAGACCGTGTGTCTGGCCTGTCCTGGCGTCATTTCAGTTGATTCCCCCATGACGTGGGTGTTTGAGGAGACGGAGGCCTAGAGCGGCTGGGGCCACTCCTTGGAGCTCTGAGCCCAGGAGTTAAAACCCGGCTGGCTCTCTCTAGTCTGTTCTGCCGCTTTCCTGCCCATGGGGAGAATCCCACGTTCTCTGGCGCCAGAGGGGAGCCGGGAACATGACGGGGTCCCTTCTGGAAAACAAGGCCCAGCCTGCACGGGCCTGACCCCATGGGGCCTCTGGTGCTGCGCTTGGCGGCTGTACCTACAGGCCTTCACCGGGACCTTTGGGGAGATGAAGGCCCGAGATAACCCTGTGGGCTCATTCTGGGCCTGACCTGACCCAGTCTTCAGAGCTTTGTTCACACACCAAGTGGGGGCCAGAGGCCTGTTGCTTTGGGGCTGGGTCCAGGAAATGTAGCAGGGAGGGAGGGAGGAAGGGAGGAAGTCAGAGTGGATGACCCTGAAAGGCAGGGAGGGACACTGACTGCTCAGGCTGGGGGTGGGGTGTGCGGAGAGGCCCAGTGCTGTGGGTGCTTGCCTTGTGGCCTCCGGGAAATGTGACTAGGGGGTGGGCACAAGCCGCGCCCCTCAGGGCTTGGGTGAGGGCTGTGGGCCCCAGGTGCTGGGCTTGTGAGAAGGTAATGAAGGCAGGGAGTTGTTAGAATGCCTCCTCCCTTGGCCTGTGATAGTGCAGCCTGACAGGGGAGGGGTGGAGAGCTGGGGACAGGGCTCCTCCTCCCTACCCTGTCCCTTGTACTCAGCTCCACCTTGCCAGGGTGGCTGGCACACTAGCTTTTCCAGCAAGGGCCTCTGGACTCTGCCACTCACCAGCTATGTGACTTAACAGTTGGAGTCTCTGTTTCTTTGCAAAATGAGGATAATGACCCCTTACCTTGTGGGCTGTTCCCAACATTAAACTAGGGGAGGACCTATGTGATCCTGACTGTGAAGAAAATGTATAGAACATTCTGCCCAGGGCCTGACTTGGCCCCAAAACATGACCTCCCTACGTTTTCTGTCATCCCCTTCCCCACCATCTTTTTTGGGTCTTGGCTTTCCCAGCTCATTCAGGTCCAAATAAAGGGTTTGGACCAGAGGGCCTCCAGCTCTGACTTCTGTTGTTTTGTGGCCTACAACTTACCCTGGAGGGGTTAGCCGCCCTTGTGGGCCCATTTCCTCATCTCTGTGTCTGTTACCAGACAGGCTGAGCTGGATGGCCACTCAGGTCTCAGCCCCTAACCAGTAGAGTTCCCCAAATATTTGCCCAAAGAGCAGAGATACAGTCAGGGGGCCCAGATACGGACCCTGGCTGAGGAACTATCTCCTGCTGTACATGGGAGCTGGGGTCCTCCCAGGCTGCATGTATCCCCTCACACAGGCCCTGTAAGGGGGTTGCGAGGCCCAGCTCAGGGCCAGCTCTACCACTTCCCAGTGGGAGCTGAACCTCCTGGAGCCCTGCTTCCCCCATCTGTCAAATGGATTAGTGACCCCCTGACGTTGTTTTAGAAAGTGCTCTGTTAACCTCTGAGGTCTGCATGCATGGGAGAAAAGACTGACACTGAGAAAGCTGCAGGTTATCAGTACGGCCCAAACAAGGGAAGGGGGAGCATATAGGTATCTGGGGCCCAGAATTAGAGTCTCAGGCCCTGCTCACTTCAACCCCTTGCCCACCATGCTCAGGGGGTAAAGAACAGCCCTGGAGAGGCTCTGGCCTGCCTCCATGGAGGGCGTGGGGTCGAGGAGCAGGGAAGGGCTGCTCTGGGGCTAGCTGACAGGCCTGGGGAGATGATGCAGGATGGGGAGCCCACTCTCTCCACGGGGACAAGCCTGGCCATCAGTGCCTGGGCCAGTGTCCACAGGCTAAGGCAGCGGTTCTCAGCTCGGGGAGAGTCTACTTCCTCCTCCCCAGGATACTCGGCAATGTTGAGAGACATTTGTCACAACTGGGAGATGGAAAACTGCTCCTATCTTTCTTGTGGCTGAACGCCAGGGATACTGCTAAACGTCCTATAATGATGGGACTTCCCTCTCCTCACATACGGACATCCTGCCCAGAATGCCCAGTGCTCGGGACAAAGGCAGGGTCTCTGCGTGGATGTGGCTGCTACCTTGCATCAGACAAGTGAGGGAGTGCGCACACCTCCCACACCCCTTCCCCTTGGCCTCTGCCCTTGGGCCTACCGTGTCAAGGTGGGTGCGCTGGTGCTTGGCACGGTCGCTGGAGTTGCTGAAGGCCTTCTGGCAGCCTGGGTGCTGGCACAGGTATGGCTTCTCGCCTGTGTGGCTCCGCAGGTGGATCTTGAGGTTCTCCAGCCGTGAGAAGGCCTTGCTGCAGCCTTCAAACTGCAGGAGAGGCTGGTGAGGGGTGCTCTGCAGCCCCGGGAGGGCCCACTACTCTGCCTGGAAATGGCCCCCAGTCTCCTCTGCCCCCTAGTCCTGCCCAAGGCCTCCAGGAGCCCTGTTTCAGTTCCCCATGAAGTGATTAGGACCCAGGCTTGATCTGGGAAGCCCTGGTGAAAAAGTACTCCCCTGGCTTAGAAATGGCTCCCAGTGCTGGAGAAGCAAGTGTTCTTTCCAACTCTGGATCTGGAAGGATCCGGGTGGCACGCGGAAAGGACGCACTGCTGTTGGCAGCGCAGCCCTGAATGGACAGACAGGTCCAGCAGGTGCAGACAACCCTCATTTGGAACCCAAGGAATGGATTTGAGTGGGGCTCTGTCCCAGTGAGGCTTGGGGCAGTGCTGTTGACCTCCCTGTCCCTTATGTCTTTGCTTACAAACTTGAGACTGTGTGGCCACCACCCAGGGCTGATATGAGGGCCTCATGGTAGGGGGACGATGACTGTCAAAGGGTTTTGTACCCCTGGAGCACAGCGTGGGTGCTGATTGCTGTCAGATTAACAACCACATGCATAAACTTGGGGTCTCTGATTTATCATCCAGTGCCCACCGTGTACCAGGTCCCATGCCGGGCGGTGGGCATACAGTGGGTATAGCACAGATATGGGGAGGCCCCTGACTGGGGTCGGGGTGGACAGCAAGAAACGCACTGCCTCTTCCTGTGGCCCAGGCCGCCCCGTCCCTGTCCCACAGCCTCTGCCCACCTCCCGTCTCTCCCCCTAGAATCTTCTAACTGCTCACTCCTCCCACATCTCTCCCCACACGACCACCCGAGGAAGTCTCAGAGGTAGCAACAGGACCTGCTCTGCCTGAAGCCCTGAGGCACCTGGGTGGCTCAGTTGGTTAAGCATCCTACTTCAGCTCAGGTCAGATCTCACAGTTCATGGGTTTGAGCCCCGAGTCAGGCTCTGCACTGACAGCTCAGAGCCTGGAGCCTGTTTCTGATTCTGTCTCCCTCTCTCTGCTTCTCCCCTATTCACTCTCTCTAAAATAAATAAAAGTTAAAAATAAAATTTAAAGCTCTGTGCCCTCCACACCTTCCTGCCCCTCCCGACTCCCACCTGCACCTTCGCAACGGCAGGAGCCCACCGGCAACCTCAAGCCTTTGTTCACACAAGTTGCTCAGCAAGGAATGTCCTCTCTCTTACAACTATCCATCCACTCCCTGCTCAGCTTTCAGAGTCTGACTCGGATGCTGCCCCGTGGCACATTCCCCGGTTGCTTCGTGTGACCAGCTGCTCCTTCCTGCTTCTCCTCACTGTCTGGCAGGCCCAGGCAGGCTGCTGTTCGTGTGGTGGACCCCACAGGGTGGAAAGAGGAAACGAGACGCAGAAGCTGCTCTTGTCTACCCCATTGTGGTGCGGGGTGTTGAACCACACAATCACCCTGAAATGTGAGGCCTCAACGTCCCCGCCTCAGAGACAGGCTTCGTGTGGTGACCACAGGGCTGTGACTCGGCAAAGATAGGATGCAGACCTTGTGTGACACCAAAGCCCAGGGGGCTCTGCTATGCCCACCGCCTCCCCGGGGCAGGTGGGCAGGAGGAGGGGACCCTTGAGGAGGATGAGAGCAGAGGAATCAGCTCCTTCACCCAAACCATTAGTTTCACACCCCCAGCTCAGGACACACACGAGGACGGAGACTCAAGGGACAATGACTCTCCCAGGGGTGAGCTCCCTTCAGGTCTCTCCCTCGGAGGCCTGGCCGCAACTGCAGGCCACACTCTGCTGGGGCTCATCTAAGGCGGGCTGCCTGCGGCTGGGTTTTAGAGCCTGTCCCACTGCCTACTCTCAGAGGGTGCGCCTCTTCTAGGCATCAACACCAGGAGGAAATCCTGTTGGGGAATAAATAGGCCACAGGCTACCCCCCTGCTCTTCTGTACCCCAAACCGAGGTGGAGGAGCCATGACTGGAAAGCGGGCTGCCTCTCTGCCCCAGCTGGTCCCTTTGTTCCTCCTCTGGCCCACGCTGGCAGGGTGGACATCTGAGGCAGAGGGGCAGTGACTCCTAATGTGCTGTGTGCTTCTCCACCAGACCCTGGAGACCGGTGTCTCGTCTTCTCCCCACCGGCCAGCCTCCGTCTCAGCAGCGTTGTTTCATTCAGGCTGTACCCCTCCTGGGACACCTCCCCTTCCAACTCGCTGACGATTTAATTCATACATTTTTCAAAAGCCCAGGGTCTGCAGCCTGATGTTCGTGGCCTTCCACCACAGCCCCGACACCTCTCCGGTCTGCACACCCTTCACATCCCCATCCCACCCCCCGGTGTGTCCTGCTATAGCTGCATGGGAGTGTGATTCTCAGTGTGTCAGGAACTTTCATGCCCCTGGGCCTTTGCTTGAGCTGTTCCCTGGGCCTGGAATGCCTTTCCCTCCTTCACTCATCTTGCAGACGTCTACTAGCTAGTGGTGCTCAAGCACTACCTCCTTTGAGAAGCTTCCCCAACCTCCGCGGCCCCTTCTTGGTCACACCCTGAGTTTATGGGTTAGAAGATTTTTGCTGCACACCCACTTCTCGCCATGCCTCTGGTCTGAGGGTTTGGGAATTCCTTGACAGCAGGGCTGGCATCTCACTCATGGGACAAAGGGTGGGTTAGAAACCGATCCAAACGGAGCAAGAACAGAAATTCCCAGCCTGGGGATGTATGTGCCCTTGTGAGTGCACCTTTTTCCCTCCAGTGTTCATGGAAGTACCCAGATACCTGTGCCCTAGGTATGTGTCACGCCCATGTAGACTGGCCCAGACCTGTCCTACCCCCGCAACCCCAGGACCTCCCAGAGCTGAGTACAGGCTGCGGTACAGCAAGCAGCTGTCAGGGTGTCCTGATGGGCAGCCAACATCCCCCGAGGTAGAACCAGAGGTAGCAGCAGTATGTGGAAAGGGGGTGCTGCCCCATCAGGACTGTTTCGGGGTGAGGAAGCTGCAGGTATCACTGCAGAATAACGCCCCCACCGGGCCAGTGCCCAGACACGTCAGGGGCCTCGAGGATGGGTGAGCTCTGCTAGCGGCTGCTAAGTTCACCGGGTCCTCCCCATCCAAGCACCGTACAGATGGCCCACAGAGGCAGAGAGAGGAGGAGGGCACACTCGTGGGTTCACGCCTATGTGCACCCTCTCTGCTGGGCCTGGGTGACCTCGCATCACTTCACAGCCCTCAGGGCAATATTCCTCTCCCTCTGCCAGGAGCTGGGGCTCAAGGGGCCAGCACCGCAGTCACAGACACCGCTCTGGCATGGGAGAACCTGGGCTTGTGCCCTGGCTGCTCAACTCCCTGAGTGCTCTTGGAGGAGTCCCTCCAAGCCTTTGAGCCTCAGTTTCCTCATCTGCAAAACTAGGTGAGTCCTTCCAACCGTGGAAGGTGGCTGTGAGAATGAAATGAAAGAGTGCAAGGTTAAGTGTTTATCTCAGCACCAAGCCCCCACCTGGGGTTGTCATTGCTGCTCCCATTCAAGGTCACCAAGCAGGTAAGCAGTGGGGTGGCATTCTGCTGGGGTGGCATCTCCCAGGCCTGCCACATCTCCCCATGTCCTGTTTCCACTTCTCACTCCTGCGCCCCTTACCTTGTTCCCCATCCTCCTCCTCCTCCTCTGGCCTGACAGCTGGACTACCCATCCCGTTGCACCCTGTGCTTCCAACCCCCTTGGATCAGGTGCAGGGGGGGCAGTCAGCCTGGGCGTGGGGCCTGGGTCAGCATGAGAACTGGGGAACAGGATGGGGCTGGAGAGGCAGGGACCCAGGGCTGTCCTGGTTCCACTTCTGCATGAGCAGGCATCCCGGACAGGTCTGTCTCCCCTTGTCTCTGCCCTGGAGATCCAGGATCTGGAATCCTATGGCTGGGGCCTGCCCATCTGAGTTTCCTATGAGCCCCTCCCTGCTGCCTTTCAGCTGGCAGCCTCACCTAGCACCTACGGCCCTGCCTGCTCTATGTCTCCTTCTACACTGCAAAGTTAAGTGGGTCACCTCCACTCAGGACTCTCTAGGGCTCATCATGCCTTCTGACAGCCAGTCGATCCCCTTAGCACTGGAGGCCTTCTAGGGTATGATGTGGCACAGCCTGGGGTGAAGGGTCCAGACTTGGAAAGCAGAAAGCGCAGAAAGTCAGCACCCTCTCTGTGCCTCAGTTTCTTTCTCTGTAAAATGAAGATAGAAACGAGCTCCCGGAGTTGGTGTGAGGGTGAGGCAATGTGCATATGTGTGTGACACACAAAAGTGCACTCTGTGAATGTCATTGTTATTACTGTGATGGTGATCGTTCCTATCTTGTCCTTAGAAGGGACACCAGCGTAGGTCAGGTTTTACCATGTCAATCCCATGTTGTGCCCTTTGGGTGCCAGAGACAGCTTCTAATGAGAGCAAGGCAGCCTTCTGGGGTGGGAATGGCCCGAGGGGGCCCCATCCACTGGTAATGTGGGGGCTGGGAGGGCAGCATGGAGAAGTGCTACCTCAACTTTGAGGTATATAACCCTGCAGAGCAGACCTCCTGGGGCACCCCCCACCCTGCTGCAAGGGGGGCCCAGGGAGAACTGTTCCTACTGTACCAAGCCGCAGTCAGAACTGCCCTCTCTTGTAGAAAGAAGTGACTCCTCAATCCTCAACCCAGGTCAACCCCCCCCGACTCTCCCCCCTCCTCCTTCCCCCGACCCTATCACACACCCTCACTTCTGGTACCCATCACTTGTCATGCATCTGCCCAGGCTTCCACCTACTCACTTCTGGAATTCACTCTCATCTTGTCATCTTTTTGCACATTGATTCATATCCTCTGCCTCACGCAGCTGCCCTGTGTGCCTGGCAGTGTGCTGGGAGCTGGGACTTTAGGGCAAAAAAGACTACAAAAGACCCACAAATCCAAACGAAAGAGGATGTATTCAGCCCCAAGGAGGGGCTGATTTCAGGGGACTTCTAGCTGGGGAAAGCCAGGGGTCACTAAAGTCTTCTTGGAGGAG